CAGAATAGGGCACCAGACCTCTTTACAGATGGTTGTGAGCCACCATGTGGTTGCTGGGAATTGAACTCAGGACCTTTGGAAGAACAGGCAATGCTCTTAACCACTGAGCCATCTCTCCAGCCCCCTAGAATATTTGTTTATATTGTGAAAATGTTTATATTATGTCTCTGACTAAGATGCCTTCTAGCTCGCTTAATAAAGAGCTAAATGGCCAATAGCTAGGCAGGAGAGATAGGCGGGACTTCCGGGGAAAGAGAGGACTAGAAGAAGAGGAGGAATCTAGGCGCACAGATTGTCGCCAGCGGACTCAGAGCAAGTTGGATGTGCTGTACTAAGAGAAAGGTACACGATGAAATGTAGACGAATATAAATGGGTCAATTTGTTATAGGAGCTAGTTCAGAGCAAGCCTGAGCTAAGACCTAGCCTTCATAATTAAAACGAGTCACTTTGTCATTATTTGTGTGATCGTAGTCAAAAGAAAAATCTGTCTACTTACGGCACCCAATGTGGAACATATAAATTCACATGGGGCCTAAGAAAGCTAAAAAGTTCAGATCACTTGAATGGGGCTTATGAACAAAGGGCAGCATGCTACTCAGTGGCGGAGACTAACTGGGGCTGGCCTCAAACTCAGAGATCCGCCTGCCTCTGCCTCCCCCCGTTCTGGGATTAAAGGTGCACGCCCACCATTGCCAAGCTGTCAATCATTCTGATTTTTAGCCTGATCTGGTAAAACCTAGTAAAGGAGCTCATTCCAACATAACATTCTCCTTTAATTTTTATTTATGAAGAGTGTATTTTAATGTCATGCAGTGGTCTTTCTATTTATGCCTCTTCTGGGTCTTGAAAGTATATAAAATATACAAGTATGTAGGAATAGCTTCCCGGAAGTGGAATTGTTAGTTGGGTTTGATGGCTTAAGTATATGGTCCTAGCTCAGGTTCTGTTGTGAGAAAAAAGGAGCTCGAGCACCTGGGCTGCATAATCAAGATTTAAAAAAAAATTGTTCTGATTACGTGCATTTGTGTGTGGGTATGTGCGTGTGCTAGTGGAGGCCAGAAGAGGGTGTCAGATCCCCTGAGTTTGGAGTTACAGGCAGGTGATCTATGAGCTAAATGGGTGCTGGGAATAGAGCTGACCCCCCAGCAAGAGCTTTCCTTGCTCTGAGCCATCTCTCTAGTTCCCACAGCCAAGGTGCACAAAGACAGATACAGGACTGTTAGCAGAGGTAGACCGGGAATCAAGACTGCCGTTTGCCCTGGAACTGCCCAGGGCTGGCTCATGCGTGTTAAGCGCCAAATTGTCGAGGTGTAGATGTTGAGACTGACAACTAGACTCCTACATCCCTGAGCAGAGATAGGAAGATTAAGCAAGAAAACTTTGTCACTGTAAAACGTTCTCTCTCTCTCTCTCTCTCTCTCTCTCTCTCTCTCTCTCTCTCTCTCTCTCTCTCTCTCTCTCTCTCTTTGTTTTTGTTTTTTTGTGTTAGAATGTAATAATCCTTTCTCAACAAGTTACATCCCCAATCCCCCAGTCTTGGTTTTTGTTTGTTTTGTTTTGACAAATTCTCACACTGTAGCTCAGGTTGCCCTTAAATTTAGGGCAATCCTCCTGCCTCAGCCTCCTCCTCCCTCCGCCGAAAGCTGGGATTCCAGGCTTGAGTCACCACTCTCAACCAACAAACAGTTGGCTTTTGTTGACACCACTCCTCTCCCTGGGCGTGCAAGGCAGAGTCAGCGCTGCCACTCGCCTCCCGCTAGCTGCTGGGGCGCTTGGGGGCGTGGCCTGTCAGGCCCGCCCCTCTCTGCGTGCGCACGTCGCGCCGTCCTCGCGCTCGCCCCGCTCCGCTACCGCGACGCTGGTGGAGTCACTGACACGGAGACCGACGGACCTGCGGGCGTAGCGGCTGGGGGTGAGTGGCCCACGCCGTCTCCGGCCTTGCCCGCCCGGGTCTTCGCTGGGCGGAAGTCTTCCTCCAGAGCTCTGCTCGGTTGGTCTGCCGCCACTCGGCCGCCAGCCCGAGGGGGCATCCGGGCGGGGGACGGCCGGAAGAGGGCTGAGGCCGGGGAGCGGGAGACGGGTGTCGGGGAGGGGGCACCGAGCGGGCCTCGAGCATCATGTGAGCCCGAAATCGCAGACGCCGCGCTCTAGAAGACCTCTGAACTCCGACCCAAGCGTCCTCTGCTGTCCCCGTAGGGCACAGCCCCTCCCAGCGTCCCGAATGCTCTTGACGAGGTGACTCCTGGGTCGAAATTAGTGCAGCCCAGCTCTTGAGCCCCCTTGAGGTCCCGGAGGAGCCCGGGGCGTGACGGCCTTCCTAGTCCGCCCTGCTGTGACTCCCCTCGCTGGGAAGAGCCCTTAGAACCTCCAGGGACTTTATGCGTGACCTCCGATGCAGAGTGCAAGACTGGGAGGACTCTACAGCCAGTTGGTCTGGACGGGGAAGTCCCCTGTCACCTCCAAAGCACAGGGCTCTAGGTGACTTAATTGCCCTGTAAGAACTGCCAAGACCGCCTTATAGAGTGTTTGCACAAGGGCTGTCTGTGCCCTGCCATTTAAATTGGTTCTGAAGGACCGGTTGCTGTGTCCTGTGGCTGTTCATCCTTACTGTGTTGTGTCGCTGGCGCCACTAACTCAACGACAGGGAGAGACCATATAATGCTGCCCTGTTGAGAAAGGGCTGCCCTCTTCAGCCCTTTCGCAAGCCTTCTGTTTCCCCACCTTTTTTTAGAGACTCGTGAAGTAAATCGAGCGATCTCCCACAGGCAAGGTGATGGCACAGATGAGCCTAAATCCAGTGCCCTGCCTGGACGTCCTGTGCTTTCAGAACTGGACTGGAGATTAGAAATGGCTGTGTTGTTTAAGTGGTTATACTGGCCTTAAGCAGGCCAGTCATGTAGCAGGAAATAAACCTGTTACTGGTTTTGTGCTTTTCTGTTTCTGCTGTGGTGCTGTTTGTAATAATTATTATAAATGTTATCATATATAATGTATAATAATTAGATATTTTTGGTGGTGGAGGTTAAACAGGACGAACACATATTTTACCACTGAACAAAATACAATGTTTTGTATTTTGAGAAAGGGATTCTTGGTATGTCTGTGCTGGCTGAATTTGAGATCCTTCTGCCTCAGTCTCCTGAGTGCCCTAGCCTAAAACCATCTTTTCCCCCCTTTGGGACAGGCTCTCTCTTAAAATTATCTAGCCCTGACTGTCCTGGAACTGGCTGTTCAGACAGACTTCAGCTCACAGAGATCCACCTGCCTCTGCCTCCCCAGCGCTGGGATTAAAGGTGTGCGCCATCATGCTGGGAGCTAACTGTATGTTTTGATTACGACACTTATTAATGCTTTTAGTTTCTTTGAGGAGTGAAAAGTGTATATTCAGAATTGCTTCCTTCAGAAACGTCATGAGATTGTAGTCTTGTTTGCTAGGCGCGCTCAGTTCAGTGGCACAGTTATCACTTCATGTGATAAAATTGTTAAACATTGGCTAATACAGTGCCGCAGCCAAACCTGATTAGAGTGTGAGAATCTGTGAGCTTGGAAAGTAGCCTTCTTGTGAGCGACCTGATAGTGCTGAGGACGTACGGGAAATCCTGTGATTCCTCCGGACTGAGGCTTGAGTTCTGCTTTTTTCTTCTCTTAGGGCAGTCCATTGAGCTGCTGAGTCAGAACTATTAGTACTCTAGGGGTGGCAAGGCCGGTGAGCTACAGAAGGTCAAATGTTAATTTCCTTTAACTTTAACACAAATCTGTTGAAACTTGCACACTCATGGCCTACCTTGATTTTTAAAAACAGCTGATTTGTTTTGTTTTTCAAGACAGGGTTTTTCTGTGTAGCTTTGGTGCCTGTCCTGGAACTCGCTCTTGTAGACCAGGCTGGCTTTGAACTCAGAGATCCACCTGGGTCTGCCTCCTGGGTGCTGCTAGGATTAAAGGCATGCACCACCACTGTCTGGCAACAGCTGACTCTTTACAGGACAACTGGGCTTTGCTTACATTGTGAGCTGTCATGTGTTGCTGGGAATTGAATCCATGTCTTCTGGAAGAGCAGCCAGCATTCTTAACCACTAAGCCATCTCTCCAACCCCCATATTATCAATGCTTGACAATATATATAGAGATTTTTTTTTGTCTCTCTCTCTTTTTTTTATTTTTATTTTTGAGACAGGTTTTCTCTGTGTAGCTTTGGAGTCTGTCCTGGAACTCACTCTGTAGGCCAGGCTGGCCTTGAACTCACAGAGATCCTCTTACCTCCGCCTCCTGAGTACTGGTATTAAAGGCACGCAAGAGATTTTCTTTTTTATTAAAAATTATATGTGTGCATAGAGATTTGCATGCTTTTTGGCTTGTGGAAGTTGATTCTCCTTCCACTGTGAGTTCTAGTGGTTAAGCTCATGTAGTTAAACTTGCACTTATACCAGATGAGCCATCTTGCTGCCCAAGAAAGAGATTTTTTTAAAAGATTTATTTATTTTATATATGTGAGTGCACTATCTACACGCATGCCTTTATGCGAGAAGAGGACATCAGATCCCACTATAGATGGTTGTGAGCCACCATGTGGGTGCTGGGAGTTGAACTCAGGACCTCTGGAAATGCAGCCAGTGCTCTTACCTGCTGCGCCAGCCGTCTCTTCAGCTCCTGAAAGAGTTTTTTTTTTTTTTTAATTGGTTGTTTTGTTTGTCTCAGTTTAAAAACTGAGAGGGAGGGAGGGAGAAGGAGAGTTGTGGAGATCAAAGGACACCCTGTGGGAATTGGTGGTTCCTAGGGATCAAACTCAGGTTGTCATACTTGGTGGCAAGTACTTTAACCCACTGCACTCTCAGTGGCCCTATTTTGTTTTTTTGGAAACAAGGGTCTCTGTAGTCCAGGCTGGACTTGACCTGGAGATCCTCCTACTTTAGCCCTCTGAGTGCTAGGATTCCAGGTGTGTGCCATAATTACCCAATTAAAACATGTGCTACTTTTTTTTCCTGAAAAAAAAATTTTTACTTTTAGTGTTTTGCCTGAATGCAGATATGTGCACCACATATGTGCCTAGTGCCTTCAGGTCCCTTTGATCTAGAATTATAGATGGCTGTAAGCCACCATGTGGGTGCTGGGAAATAATCCTGGGTCTTCTTCGAGAGCAGCAAGTGCTTTAACCACTAAGCTATCTCTCTCAATGGTTACTCTTCTGTCTATTTGTTTTTAAGACAGTGTGACCTGGCTGCCCTGGAATTCCATATTTTGCCTCTTAAGTATTGGGATAAATCTTTTCTTTTTTTTCTTTTTCTTTTTTTGAGACAGGGTCCCTCACTGTGTATTCCTGGTTAGCTTGAACTGAAAGAGATCTGCTTCTTCTGCCTTTCCAGTGTTGGAATTAATGTATGTACTTCCATACCTGGCCTAAGCTTTAGTTTTTATATCAGAAAAGGGGATTTTAGTACATGATTAGTCTTACAGACTGTGGAGCCTTTAAATACTGCTTATTGATCTAAGATGGAGGCTACTAAAATCTGTTTCGGTAAATCTGAGATTGGGACTGGGAATCAGTGGTTTTGGGATGTGATTCTTATTCTTATTATTAGTCCTCTGGAATAAAGCACAGCTGAGCAGAGAAGGATGGACTGGAAGGTGTAGAGAGGTGGTTAATGGGCTACGTGAGCAGTAACAACAGGGGAGGAACGAATGGGTGGTTGTTGGGTGGGATCATTGTGTTGTCTGTTTGTGTGCAATAGGCCAACCAAACAGATGTTACCTTCTTTCTGCCCAGGGGGAAAATTAATTTTTTGTCACACGAAGGGATTTGTTTCCTTCCCAGGAGTACCATGAGCCTAATTATTACCATAGTTCTCAGTAATTTTAAAAGGGCTTTAGGGAGGAACAGCATAATGAGACGCTTGAATACTCCCAGTTTCTGCTTTTCTTCCTGGGATTGTTTCAGTTTTAAGACACTGGTTGTAGGTAGCTTATATTCATTCCCACATTTACCTGAGATTCCCAAACCACTTCTTTCTGTTTTTGTTTTTTTAAGACAGATAAGTACTCACTACATAGGTCCAGGCTCATTGTGAATTCATGTTGACCCTCCTTCTGAGCATGTGGGGTTACAGGCGTGTGCCCAATGCTTGACTTATTAATACTCTTTACCTACCATATAATTTTTAGTTAGTTTAGTTGGCTGGCTGTCTCTTAAGTATCTATTATGATCATATTTTTCTACTAATCATGGAGATTCTAATCTAAACATACAGGTGAACTGAAGGAATAGTGATTGTAGGAGTTGAATCCAGGGCCTTATGTATGTTAGGCAAGCACTCACCCTTGAGCCACATTCCCAGCCTTCTCTGCTCTTTCCATTGGAAGGTCAGGGTTGAGCCAGTCTTTTCTTTGCCTAAAATAGCAAGTATCCCATTTCTAAGCAAATTACCCCCAAACCCCTTCATTCTTCTGTTGCATACTTAAATATTTATTATCTTCAGTAAAATTCTCAAATGTTCAAAATATTATTTTCTTTGCTCTGATGTCTTTTGTTTGCTTTTTGCATTTTGTTTCTTGAGACAAGATTTCTCTGCATAGCCCTGGCTGTCCTGGAACTCATCCTGTAGACCAGGCTGGCCTTGAACTCACAGAGATCTGCCTGCCTCTGCCTCCTGGGTGCTGGAATTAAAGGCTTATGCCACTACATCCAACTAGAACTAAGGATTCTGTTATGTCATCCTCTGTGCTGAATTTTCTTTCTTTCTTTGTTTCTTCCTTCCTTCCTTCCTTCCTTCCTCTTTTTTTTTAAATATTTATTTATTTATTATGTATACAATATTCTGTCTGTGTGTATGCCTGAAGGCCAGAAGAGGGCGCCAGGCCTCCTTACAGATGGTTGTGAGCCATCATGTGGTTGCTGGGAATTGAACTCAGGACCTTTGG